TCAGAGCAAAGGGTGGCTATTTTGAAGAAACTAGAATATAAAACATGTTTTCAGTTATTTCACCTTTTTTTGTTAAGTACATAACTCCACATGTGTTCATTCATAGTTTTGATGCCTTCAGTGAGAATCTACAATGTAAATAGTCATGAAAATAAAGAAAACGCATTGAATGAGAAGGTGTGTCCAAACTTTTGGCCTGTACTGTATATATATAAAAGCATAATTATAAGGCTACGAAAACCAAACAAATTTTATTTTATAGCGATCATACACTTGTATAAACATATTAATGGGTAGAATATTCAGATTCAGATTCAGATTGACAATAAACCATGCCAAATATTACACACTGGCCCTTTAAATGTTGTAACATTGTTAATGTAATTGTTCTTTGTATGTACTCTTTTCCTTATTTATGTGTTTTTACCATTCAATAATGATTTTAATTTAAGAATTTATTGTAATTAATTTATTGTATTTAAAGATTAATTGTATTTATTGTAGTATTTATTCAACAGCATTTTAAATATTGATTATCTGATATGAATTGTATTCCTGATGTCTGAAGTGTGGCTGAATAAAATTTTCCTCTTAACATCTGACCTGTTTGATCCCATTTATATTGGTGAGGATAGACTAAATGAGAAACTCAACACTTCAATAAAATGTTAGACTTAATACAATATTAAACTGCTTTTGTTTTTTCTAGGTGTACCAAGTAAACTGTCAAGTCTCCATAAAAATGTAGACAGAAAGCATAATGATGAGACAAATGCAGTGATGAACAGTAACTAAGAATGTATATGATGATAACAACACTTGAAATTGGGTCACTCTGCATAATGAGTACTTTTAACTTTTCATTAATTCATTTCATTCCTCTCATCACGTCTCATCCTCATCCTCCACCTCCGCCTCATTCTCCGCTGTCTTTCTCGGATCTGCCTCCTCAGCTGGGCAGCCTCCTCCTCAGCCTGCAGGTACAGCAATCCTGCTGCAATAACATGCACCAAGACGCCTTCTCCGATCCATGTCCGTTATTGATTTTTGATTTCCATCTCGCCAATGCTCACGATCACAATAACCACCAACTCTCCACAAACTTTCCCCCCGCACCTGACTTTTGATTATTATCAGAGTTCAGGTGCGGGAATTGGATAGGCTATAGATTAAATATGATCAAGCTGCGGGGAAAAGGATTTATAAGACATTTTATGAACCAATTTTGGCTATTTATATGTTTTTGTGTGTCAGTTATATATGTTGAAACGTTATAAACATATACACATTAATTTCTTACAATGTCTATGAAAAGACGCAGGGCTGGGCTGTGTTTATATTGTTTTATTCTAAATGCATGTATACAACACAGTACAACAGCCAAGGCGAGCGGAGGTGGTGACATCATCAAGTTCGCTGCTGTTCCAAAAGCAGAAATGACTGTACTCCTGTCCTCCCGTTCTTGGGAAGTCCAGACTCTCGTGTGGACTTGCCAAGTCCGAACTTGCCAAGTCCACAAGTCCGAACTGCTGAACTTGTGTATTGAGAAACGGCTTGATTGTCTGCCTCGCCCCTGATTGTTTCCAACTGTGCCCTTACCTTGTGTATATAGTCTGCATCTCCCTTTGTCCTGTGCCAGTTCGTCTTGTCCTTTGTGTGAGAGAACCTTGTTTCTTAAGAAATAGCATTTATTTTCTAGATCATTTTTGTTCTTAGATTAAGTGTAGGTTTTCCTCTGTCAAGAGTGATTTTCATTTTGCGTTTTTATTTAATAAAACTTTGATTTTGAACTTTGATTCCTGAGTCGTGCGTTTGGGTTCAGGTCCTTTGTTCAGTTGTGACATATGTGTGGAAACAGCTGAGTCTCTGCTTTCATTTGAGATGAATGGTGTGTGTTTTGCATAACGTGGCGTTGAGTTAGAGCCCGAAATATGGTGAGTGGGTTGGCACATCAGTGCTGTATGGAGTTTGATTTGTTGTTATTCATTTAGTTGTTGTTTGACCTGTGTTTGGGGCATGTAAAATGGTTTATACAGCCTTGTTAGCCCAGGTTCTGCTGTTTAATTTGATGTGCATCATCATTATATTCTTCATGATCAGTGCATTGTTTCACACTGTGTTTGCAAAGTCGTTTTCAAAGTCCCCCAGTTGGAGGATTTTCGGGTTGTGACGGCCCCAGGGCCTTGGTCCTTCGATGGTACTGTGTGTGTGCTCTGTGTCTTGCAGGTCCTCAGCTGGGTGGAGCTGAGATGCCATCAAGTAACTGGGAACACCTGGCCAGTGTTCCCAGGTTACTTAACCCCGCCTTCCCAGTCCCCGTGTGCTCCTTGCTCGCTCTTGTGTTCGTGTTCAGCAATCGCAGTCGGTGTGGACGTGGCTGCTGCCGCGCTCCTGTCGGTCCCCTCCTCCAGCCATGCTGCCTTTTGCTTTTGAGTTGCCGTTGGTTGTTTTGCACTGACAACATGCACCTTACATTATCCAACACATCCATGCACCCTCACACACCACTGATACTGACTTCCACACCCCATCGCAGTATTTATTGTTTAACTTGTTTAATGTTAACTTTTGGAAGCGCCCCGTCTACATCTCCCTCATTTGTTGCGGCCTACGAGCCGGCTGTAACAGGGTTTAACAGGTTTTAACCAACAATTTGGGCAACCCAATAATAGAAGACAAGTGCTCATTCTTTGTCAAAATTCTTTGTCAAAATACATTAAAATCACGTGTTTAACATGGAATTATTCAAAGTTTTCCCGGGGGAAAACCCCCCCGACTCCCTGGTTAATAATTGTTCCCACTTCAGGGCTAAAGCCCTGGATGTTTTCAACTCCCAGCAACGCCCCTGTTCTAATGTCTTTACTGTGGCCGTTCTCACTGTGATTCACCCGAAAAATACACCAATTGAAGCTGACAGAATGAAAGCAATTATCATGTTATTATCATGTGAACAGGAGGGTAGGTGGACACTTAGCGCTTCAATGCTGCTGTAAGTGATTAATTTAAAAACTTTTGTTTTATCTAAATCACGTTATTTAAAAAAAATCACATTATTTGGCAGTGGACACATTGGAAGGTGTAATTCATATGGTTTCTGTCAATATTTTTTTCACACTTGTATGATAAAAACTCCTGGAGACATTAATCCAAATAAATGACATATTTATCTAAATCCTGCCGAGCTTCCCTGGCGCAAATTTTGTTGAAGAGGACCCGCATTCACTTCCAGCAAATCATGTGCAAAGCTTTGTGGGGATTTTGTACCCACTGAGGATACACACATGCATCCTTGGAATTTCTCTGAAAGAAGGATTCAGTCCTCTGTGACATTCGGAAGGATCCTTGACATTGGATCAGTCCTTTGGTGGGGTTTGATGACGCAGCCTCCTTGAAATTCGGCTGTTTGAAGATACTTATTTGACTTTAAGAAACACCCAATATCCTTGATCACTTGACCCGGCAATCGATTGACGACACCGGCCATCTTGAAGGAGGTCTTAGTCCATTAAACACGCTCAGAGGAGTCAAGGAGGCTCTCAGAGTATCACTCCTAGTTTTTATTTCATTTGTTTTCTGATTCATCATCTAGTTAAAAATCTGAACAAGAAAAGGACTACAAACTATTTTCTTCTTTTCTTCCTCAACTTTTATTATTCATAGTAAAATGTGGAGAGAGTCTGTCTGTCAGCAAGAAACACTTTTATCAGTGACTGTCATTTCCATTCAGTCACACATGAGCCTGGGCTTGGGGTTGATGAGTTACAGAATTTTAATTTTCCCTGAAACATTTTGGCCTAATAAATCATTGCCAGTGTTAAACAGACACCAATCATATTCTGTGTTATAAAATAATGATCTCACAATCAGAATATCAATAAATACAGATTCAAATAATAAATAGGCCTATATCATATAGCTACATGCATTCTGTACCTCTGAGCAGGACACAGTACACAGTACAGAGTATAAATATAGAATGCAGGTTATTCATTTGTAGGTGTTTGTTACCCTGGAAATCCAGAGTTCTCACGAGAGCACATTTTTGAATTTGCTCGGCGAGTCACTCTGGCAATCAGTAATTTTAAAATTTTAAAGTTTTAAAGTTCCACTGATTGTCACACACCTGAGTGTGTGAAATTTGTTGTCCGTATTTGACCCATCCCCTGAGGGAGCGGTGAGCAGCAGCGGTGAGCAGCAGCTGTGCCGCGCTCGGGAATCATGTAGTGATCTAACCCCCCAGTTCCAACCCCTGATGCTGAGTGCCAAGCAGGGAGGCAATGGGTCCCATTTTTATAGTCTTTGGTATGACCCGGCCGGGGATCGAACCTCCCAGTCTCAGGGCGGACACTCTACCACTAGGCCACTGAGCTGGTGATGATGCTCATTACCCATGCCGTTGGAGGCGAGCTGCACCAATCACATCAGTGTATCTGATATAGGCGGGCCAGAGGCGAGCTAAACAGATGACGACAGCGCTGAAACGACGAAGTCCAAAATCAGTCAGTAAAAATTGCAAAATGGCTAAGGATGAACACCAGTAGTTTGAAAAGGCATTGGCCGCTACAATGAACGAGTTAGACTTGGCTTTTTCTACTAACCGCAGCTACTACGGAGGTTAAGCCAGCAGAGACAAAAGCCAAGAAGGACACGCTCTGTGCTTTCTCAAAACTTTGTCTCTTCTGCCAAGGAGAACAGCACGCCATGGAGCACTGCAAGATGAAGAGGACTCTTCACAAGGAGAAGATAGACTTTCTCAAGGATAAGGGTCTGTGCTTCAGCTGTCTGAAACAGGGACATATGAGCAAGGCCTGCAATGAAAAGATGAGCTGCCAACACTGTCAGCTGACACACTCTTCAGTTTTGCACATAAAGATCAAGGCTACATCTAACGAGGCGAAGCACAAGGGTGAGCCATCGGATGATGCGTTAAAGGAAGCGAAGCACAAGGGCGAGCCTACAGATGAGGGTGAAGATCACTCAGTGGTCAGTGGATGCATCACCCACCCAGCCTCTCCGGAAATCAACAACAATCTCCTTGGTCTTGCTGACGTTCAGCAGGAGGTTGTTGTCTCTGCACCACGTGGTTAGATGGTTGACCTCCTTCCTGTAGTGGGTCTCGTTGTCCTTGGTGATGAGACCCACCAGAGTTGTGTTGTCCGCAAACTTCACCATGCGATTAGTGCTGTAGGTTGGTGTGCAGACATGAGTCAGCAGGGTGAAGAGCAGGGGTCTGAGCACACAGCCTTGGGGGGCCCCTGTGCTGAGTGTGATGCTGCCTGAGGTGTTAGTGCTGACTCGTACTGCTTGTGGCCTCTCACTGAGGAAGTCCAGCAGCCAGTTGCAAAGGGAGGTGTTGAGCCCCAGCTGGTCTAGTTTACAGATGAGTTGTTGTGGGATTATGGTGTTGAATGCTGAACTGAAGTCTATGAACAGCATTCTCACATATGAGTCTTTTGTGTCCAGGTGGGTGAGGACTGGGTGGAGAGCAGAGCAGATTGCATCTTCTGTGGACCTTTTGGCCCGGAATGCAAACTGGAAAGGGTCCAGGGTAGGATGGATTTGATGTGTGACATGACTAGCTGTTCAAAGCACTTCATGATGATGGGGATCAGTGCCACGGGGCGATAGTCATTGAAGCAGGATGGAGCAGGTTTCTTTGGCACAGGTATGACGATGGTGGACTTGAAATGTGATGGAACAGCAGCCTGTCTCAGAGAAGTGTTAAAGATGTCCGTGAATACATCCTTAAGCTCCTCTGCGCAGTCCTTCAGCACACGACCAGGGATGTTGTCTGGACCTGTTGCCTTGCAGGTGTTGATAGTGGAGAGTGTCCTTTTCACGCTGGCAGCAGACAGGCACAGGGCCTGATCGTGGCGGGGGGCGGTGGAGTCTTCTGTGGATGTGTGTTGTTTTGTGCTTCAAAACGTGCAAAGAAGCTGTTGAGGTTGTTGAGCAGAGAGAGCTGCTCCAGTTGTACAGCAGAGTCAGGATGTTGTCACTTAGCCATGTTTCAGTGAAGAGAAGCACACAGCAGTTACTCACGTTTCGATTCGCTGACCTCAGCAGTCGTATGTGATCCATTTTATTGTCCAGGGATCGTACATTTGCTAGAAGAATGGATGGTATGGCTGGGCGAGTTGGTCTAGCCGCTAGCCTAGCTCGGATACCTCCGCGCTTGCCCCTCTTCTGCTTCCTCGCACACCGCTTGCAGTGCCTCCTTGCCAGGGGGGGGGGGAAGCAGTCGAGTCTGGTGTGGTTGCAGGCCGGCAGAGTAATCCAAGCTTCTTTATTGTCTCTGTTTGTGCAGTATCCAAAGTGTTGTAAAGCTGGCTCCTGCAGATGTCTAACAGAGCCTGTCGACTGTACTTGTATTCCGATGTAGACAGATGAGACGAACACGAAAAATTTTCAGACAAACACTTAATAACAGAACAAGTCGCTGCGTCTACACGCGCCGCCATCTTGCTTAGCTTCTTCATCCTTACACAAGAGGATGTGGATAAGTGGCCCCACCACAGTCAAGTGCAGATTCCTGAGATTCAAGCAGAGATAGGCCTTCTCATTGGGACAGACATATCCAAAGCTATGGAACCATGGGAGTGTAGTGTAATGTACTGATTTACTGTAGTGTTTATACTGTACCTTTAAGTTGACCTTTAAAGATACGTGTTGAAGCAATATACTCTGTGCACTGACAAGTCACACACTGGTTTATTATTTCATGTATTCCTATGACACACACATATACTCATTGAGCACTTAAGCATTGTGGTGGAGAAGTACCTAGGATTCACTGTGCATCATTTTTTAAAAATAGCATGAGGATGGGCTCAGAAACATTGGTGGAAAGTTAGGGGAATTCCATATTGTCCTGATATGACTCTGGTAAGAGGAGGCGGGCCTAGACTGCCCAGGAAAGCATTACACGGTGAAATTGGCTCCAAGGGAGAAAAGGAGAGCGGGGATACTATTATGTATGAGTGCAAGTAGATAGGCTGGCTTCAGGGGAAGAACGGAGAAGCCGTGACACCGTTATGTTTAGCCCAAGTGGGTAGGATGAAAGAAAAAAGGTGGAGACTCACAATAAAAGCAAGTGCATAGACAAAGAAATTCCAGTCTTGCTCCAGAGCATGACTGATTGAGTTGTATTGTGCTGATGCCTGCGTGCACATTAAACTCAGTTGCATCTGATTCTACATGTCTCCAGTGATTTTTTGACCTCTGAGTATTTGAGTTTTTGATATTTAATAGAAAACAAATAAAGTTTGTTCGAAAAGAAGGGAACGAGGTTGCGAGCTTTCTGGCCCAGCTCCCAAACTTAAATTTATGTTTCTACAGGAGGTTATATCCAGTGTGGGCGACGGGCTGTATGCAGTGAAAACACGACTGTGCTGGATCGTCAATGGCCCCCTCCAGGAAGGTGATGGCCATGAAACTACTAGTGGACTCATTCAGGTCACATCCAACCGCATATCAGTGGCCAAGCTAGATGAGCTTTGGAGTCAACAGTTCAGGAATGACTTTCCAGAGTGTCAAGAAGACCGTCAGGAAGTGTCGAGGGATGACATCCAGTTTCTTGAAATGGTCTCACAGTCTGTTCGACTGACAGAGGGACACTACAGCATCAGGCTGCCACTAAGGAACACAGTACTCAAGATGCCAAACAACAGAACAGTAGCGGAACAGCTAGGTCTCAACTTGAGGAGAAAGTTGGTTAAGAATCCTCAGTTCCAGGCTGATTACTCTGTGTTCGTGGATGATTGGATTTCCAAGGGCTACGCAGTAAAGGTTCCCAGGGAGGAGCTCGGCTGCAATGATGGGAAGGTTTGGTACTTGCCACACCACAGTGTGTACCATGCTAAGAAAATGAAGATCTGAGTGGTGTTCGATTGTGGAGCGTCGTTCCAGGGCACCTCATTGAACGACCAGCTGCTACAGGGGCCGGATCTAACCAGTACTCTGCTCGGTGTCATCACCAGGTTCAGGCGAGAGGAGGTGGCTGTCATGGCAGATGTGGAGGCCATGTTCCACCAGGTCAGGGTGCCGGTTGAGGATGCCGACCTTCTCCGGTTTCTCTGGTGGCCTTCCGGTGACATCAGCCGAGACTTGGTGGAGTACAGGATGACAGTGCACATAGTGCCACCTCTTCTCCAAGCTGTGACAGCTATGCCCTTTAGAAGTGTGCAGAAGACAACAGGGAACGTCAATGACTATCTCAAGTCAGTTCACTCTGAAGAGGAAGCTCTGACATGCTCCCTGTCGAGCGAGCTTTGGGAGTGCGGTGGTGTACGAAATCTGACAGCTTCAGGTTTAAGATCGTCATACAAGACCAACCACCCACCAGAAGAGGCATTCTCTCTGTAGTTGGTGCAATCTACAATCCGCTGGGTATCCTGGCGCCGGTGGTCTTGATGGCAAAGACGATCCTACAAGAGCTCTGTCGACTCAAGCTAGGTTGGGACGATATAATTCCCGAGCATCTAGCTCTACAGTGGTCCAACTGGATGGAGGACCTTCATATGTTGGAAGGGTTTGGTGTGGTTCAGTGTTTCAAGCCCAAAGGCTTCGGCGAGGCAACATTTCAGCCAGCTGCATCACTTCACAGATGCTAGCCAAGAAGGCTACGGAACAGTGAGTTATCTGCTACAGAAGAGTAATGACAACAAGCTTCATGTTGCTTTCATCATGGCGAAGGCCAGAGTGGCCCCACACAAGCCGATTACCATCCCAGGCATGGAGTTAACAGCAACCGCTAGGCAACGCACATGGACAGAACCTTGAGATCAGAACTGCAGCTCCAGTTAGAAGAATCTGTGTTCTGGTCAGACAGCACGACTATGCTTAAATACATTGGAAACAGGACCAGCAGGTTCCGGACCTTCGAAGCAAATCGAGTGGAGACCATCTTGAAGCTGTCCGAAGTAAGACAGTGGCGGTATGTGGATACTGCAAAGAATCCCGCCGACTATGCGTCAAGGGGACTTAATGTGGAGTCTTTCTTGTGCAATGAGACTTGGATACAGGGGCCGGACTTTCTCACCAAGCCCGAGGAGGAATGGCCTAAGAATCCAGACCACCCTGAGGACCTAACCATGGAGGACCCAGAGGTAAGGAATGCCGTGGTCTACGCTACTGCAACTAAAGAGCAGTTGGATACAGTGCAGCGGTTCATGGAGTACTTCTCTTCTTGGAATAGCCTCAAGAAGGCAGTTGGCTGGACCCTAAAGCTGAGAAGCACTCTGCTGATCCTGTGTTGCAAGAGCAAGGAGATGAATGCTTCTCTCACGCAGACTGAGGGTCAGACGCAGATGAAGATCTTCAAGGCAGGCCTTGTGAAGACCAACCTCACTGTGGGGAATATAAAGGAGGCAGATCTTGAGATTATTCATTTCAGTCAGCGGAGGAAATACTCTGAAGAGATCTCTGCGCTTTAGAAGGGTGATGGCATAAAGATGAGCAGCCATATATACAAGCTCAAACCCATACTGCAGGATGGAATCCAGAGTAGGTGGAAGACTTGGCAGATCGGCGATGCCTGAAGAGGTTAAGCACCTGCCATCCTGTCTAAGGACCTCCACATGACAGAGCTTATTCTCAGAGGCATCCACGAGAAGGTGGGTCACAGTGGTCGTAACCATGTGCTCTCAGAACTACGACTCAAGTACTGGATCCCTGGTGCTCACGCAGCTAAAAGGAGAGTTCTTTCCAAGTGTGTAACCTGTCAATGCTCATATGGTGCTGCTGGACAACAACAGATGGCTGATTTACCTCAGGACAGGGTCCTTCCAGATGATCCCCCATTCACCAACACTGGGGTAGACTACTTCGGTCCATTCGAAGTCAAACGTGGCAGAAGCATCGTGAAGAGGTATGGTGTCATCTTCACTTGTCTGGCTATCGGTGCTGTCCATATTGATGTAGCGTCAATCTTGGATACTGACTCATTCATTGACGCTCTCCGACGCTTCCTAGCAAGAAGAGGCCAGGTGAAAATCCTCCATTCAGACAACAGGATGAATTTCGTTGGGGCTGAGCGTTAGCTAAGGAGAGCTATTGAACAGTGGAATACCTCCAAGATCAAGGACACTCTATGTCAGAGGGGAGTCCAGTGGATGTTCAACCCCCCTACTGGTTTTCACCATGGGAGTCTGGGAGCGGATGATTAGGTCGGTCAGGAAGATTCTCAGTGCCACTTTAAAGCTCCAAACACTGGATGAGGAAGGCCTTCACACTGTACTGTGTGAGGCAGAGGCCATTATCAACAGTCGACCAATTACCAAGGCTTCCAATGACCCTAACGATCTGGAGGCGCTTACCCCCAATCATCTCCTGCTCCTCCAGTCCAAGCCTTCCCTGCCACCAGGTCTCTTTGTGAAGGAGGATCTCTATGCCCACAAGAGATGGAGACAAGTCCAGTATATGGCAAATCTTCAAGA